TATCACTAATGTCTATCCAAATGTTCTCCTTTCGAAAGTAGACTTGTGGATTGAATTCGGACGCAGTAGATTTCTCGTGAAAATTAGTGTACTTCTACACATCACGGTGTGTGTGTAATGAAACAACAGTTCGTAAATCAACGATGGGCGAAAACTTTGCTAAAAGTAAGACAGTAAGGTGAAAATTCAAGTATTATCAACAGGACTGTACTAAAACTCTCACATGCTGTGGGGATGAAAACCGCTGAAAAATATGAACATCCGTTTCGGGTGACTGCTGGTATGAGCACAACTCCACACAACCGTGCAACGAAATTTTGTTTGAGACGGTGTGGAGTCTGTAGTATAATCAGGGTGCCGCAGGCATGCACAGACACACGGTTGTAGACGTTCCAACCCAGTAACTCAACTTTCCTGACAATCACATTCGATTCCATCGTCATTTGGCCAGTTCAATTAGGGTATTTTGTTGCTTAATCATACTATCGTTCACCTATTTAAGTTCTACTCTTTGGAATGAAGTGGCTGTATCGTAAACGTTATCCGTGTTTTCTTACGATTTCCACTGACCCGATAACAAGATGGCACTCATTTGGGGATATGAAATCAGGCTAGTGGTTACTGAGAGGATAGATATGTGCTTTGAAAAGTTATGATCTTGTTGAGTTGACTGCTTTATAAAAGGGCGATATCAGCGAGCTTGAACTGTGTTCGAAAACTTACTGGCAAAGTGAGTGAAAAATATCGTCGACATCCGCTAGCCTCATTGCGGGTATTTGTCATCATATCTGAATATGCATGAGTTTTCAACACGGAAAACATGCGTACAAGTTCAAATCCTACCGATGGTCCTGATGTTCTAACAATACTTGTCCTTGTACTAGACAGCAAATCACATTTATTCCGTAATAGTAGAGGCAGGCGCTAGACTGCCTTACAACGTGACTGGTTAAGCGTCCGGGTGACTCCGAATTAGCGTGCCCACAAACATCATGAATAGATTTTACTTCTTTCACAGTGGTTCATTGTTATTCGTTTCGCGTATAGTCTGTTCATGGATGCAGAAGTGTAAAATGCAAGTATATGACCTTTTCCTATCATCAAAATACCAGTTGTACATCTAATAATGCATACAAAAATGGCTTTAGAGGTGCTGCTATCTTTTATTTATCCCTACTTAGTATTCAAGTAACCAGTTGCTGGCGCGATAACGTATCCTTGAAGAATTCATAATTCTCCATCGTACTTTATATATATTTTCTTTTTCGGAGATTTTTTCGGACGGTTTGAGATGTAAAATCTTGTTCATCTCAATTGATGTCTGTATTTTATATTACCGTTAGCTAATGAATCTACCCAACCCAGATGGGCCATGCGCTTGGGGAAAAAAATTGTCAAAACCACGGATCAGTTAACCGCACGTTGTCGACGGAAAAAAATTGGTCGCCAAGTCAAAAGCAAGCAGGAAGATGCCAATCCTATCCAGGTTTCAGCTACCGAACACAATGTGAATGGCAAACGCACGCCGTCCGAGTTGGTCGTGATTTCCGAAACCGGTGCGGAGGAGGATGGGACGGAGCTCGAGCCAATATGCACCCTGCCTCGCGGTCCAAACGAATTGGAGACCATCAGCAACGGTTCAGTTTCGGCTGCGGGAGATCATGTGGCTGGCAATTCGATCAACCCCGGTAATGTGGGACGCATGAAAATTCAACGAATCAAACAGATGCACTCTGCCACATCCATGCCAGGCCGGATACGGACTACTGAATCATCCAGAGGTGAGATGCCAATCTTGTGCATGCCATGACGTGAGTCAATATTGTAAATCGGTCTTCCATGAAATCACTGAAAGGAAGATCGTTTCATGCTAAGTGTTATGGATAGTGAAATTTATCGTTTTTTATCACACACACACACACTTGAGTGATGACTAGCAGACGAGGTGAACCCCAGAGTCACGAAGACATATGGGCGTGTGTGTGCATGTGTATGGTGTTTTGTTTTATGTTATGCACTGTCCATAATTTCCAAGAATAAAATACCCCTTTCCAAAAAACTAATGGGATTTATACTAATGTTCAATTCACAAGCTGCACGTCTTCGTTCATTTTTCATTTCCGTTAGTGCAAATCAGAAAAATCCATTGCCTTTTGATATAAGAAAGAATGTCAAGGACTTGGGTACTTGGTGTTATTTCAGTTAATTACTCTGTCACATGATCCCTCTGTTATAATTCCACAAGGTACTGCTCGGTCGAGGGCAGTTGTTTATTGTATTTTGCAGTTGGGACATCGCTAAGTTGGCGTACGTAACACAGAAATCTTATCTGAAATACCTTCGCTCGTCCTGGCAACACGCCGGGTAATGAACGTAGCAATCGATGCTTATTCTTTGAGATGCAACAACTTGCTCTCGATGGTCGTGTTCATTTTTGATCGTCAAGAGGAATCATCAATTACTTTGCATACTACTCACGAGTGTGAGTAGTACCTCACAACACCTCTAATCCAAAATACCCAGATCATTACTTCCAGTTCATTTTGAGTGCATCATTCCCATGTTTTTAACTTCTTGCCAGCAGAAGCAAATTTTTACGGCCCTGATGGTTCTGATTGAACACAAAGATCACTTTGAAGGCAAAAGCCCTATCTTGAATCGAAACACTGCAATCACCAAATGACGCAACCGTAGTTGTAGTGCTATCATCTATTCCTTCATCGGGGCGATATTGCCAACAAGGTTTAAGTCTAAGTCTGTCAACAGAATGAAGTTAAATAAAGCCCTTCAATGAATTGACATGTTTGCATGCCCAGTCCGACATGTTTAGAAGGGATTGAAAAGTGTCACATCTCACATAAATAATATTGAGTAGACTAGGACTGTTCCTGTGCGTTTTCCATGAATTCAGGTAAAAATCATTCTCTCAATGCTTGTCAAATACATTGATTATTTTGAAAAAATAACCAAATGAACAATACTAGGAAACAAGACTCCAACCTGATTGTGTGCATTCAGAACTTCAGGTGGATAGATTAGGATCGACGAAATGTTCAGTATCTTCAGAAATCTTCCAGTTAAATGTCTTTAAGTGTTGCGGAAAAAAAAACAGAAACGACTAATAGCTAGCTGCAAAGCATTGACATTGAAGAGTTGTGAAATACTTTTGGGTAAGCCAGGTAAAATTGCTAGGAATTAGTAAAGTAGGAAAGTAGGAAAGAGGCACAAATACATACACAAAAAGAAAATTTGATTTCGTGCATGCTGAATTTTTGTGGTTTTAGAATGTTATACTACAAGTGAAGTGGTTTACCAATAGAGATTTGTGCACTGAAAACAATCACCTTAGTTTTCTCTATAGTAACTTCAAGGCAAGGTAGGTCTGTGATGATCGCGATGGATTAAAACCAAAGCAGGAAGCAAAGTAGTGCGTGAATGACCGCACAGAGCTTTCCAGGGGCACAGTATCACGTTGTCGGTCCTCGCCGTTCGTCAGCTGTCCGGCAATCGTTTGACAGGTCACTCTTATGCTTGCGCTCCCTGTTAGAACTTGTAAACTGATCTGATTTTAGAAGTGACTGGCGTCAGTCAATTTTCGCGGTGTATCGGATTGTGACGGTTTACGGGAACACGGAGGTAGATTCAGGGATCTTTAATTTGGTATCTGTGAGACCTTAAATTCACCATTTTGAGAAGAATAGCGTCCATAATTAGCAGTGCGGTAATGACTGTAGACGAAAAATAATTTGTACAACGGCAAAATAGACCCATTTATTCTGATAAGAACGAATACCAGTCCTGCTTTTCTCTGTACAAACGCAACATAAACTACGGCGTTATACTACAGCGCTCGCAACCGCCGGTTCAATTAGCATAACTCGAATGCAAGATTTCCGAGAAGGGTATTCCATCAACAAGACTATTGGGGTCCACTGGTCATATCTCATTCCGACAGAAAATATTTTTAACTTCATAACCCATAGAATAGGGGAAAACTGTGTTCAGATTTCAAAAAAGGTGTGAAACAATGACGTCGACTCTGAGAGCTGGCGAGGTAATAAACACATCTATTGTCGAGCAATTTTGTTATCTTAAGCTTATTAATATTGATCTTCAGTGAACATAGTTTTGAGATTGTACTTCGGGGTGGGCAAACATTCTCATCCCCAGGCGTATATTTGTTGGATATTATTTGAAGGATTAAATGGATGGAAGATAATGCATCTTTTCAAACGTTTATGATGCATTTCGATACAAAACAGATGGATGGATGGACGAAATCTGTTTTTTACTTGTTTGCCTGGCCTGTTTATCGGCTTAAAAAATGTGCAAAGTGGACTCGCCAATCATTTTTGTCTGTTGTAGGGTTGAAATTACGTAGCAAATTATGATCATGTTGCCGATGAGAGATAATGAAACTCACTAACTGAACGTGAAAAACTGTGCCACGTATGGCGCGTTGTAATCATTTCGTTCATTGACTTCAGCGTCGTTATAAAGTAATGGTAAAGTAAACCGGGTAAAAAGAAGCACTCCTATAGAAAATTCACCTCTCTCTCCCTCTCTCCCTCTTTTAGCTCTATAGGAATTAAATAAGAAAGCACAATAATGTGTTGGCAAGTCAACTCCTGATTTAAATAGAATCATCTATCACAGTTGTCCTCACAATTGGCTCCAACAACGCCCGTCTGCAATTGACCATTCGCATCTACGTCCAAAAGTGAAAATTTGATTAAGTTATACGGGTCAGCTGAAAGTTCAAATTAATGTTAGCTTATCCGATTTTATTGAGGATTTCTAACCAACCCAACTCGTTGCACGGTTTGTCTCACTTCGAAGCTGCTGGGTTGAAAAGTGAATCGTTATCTTTGAAGACGAAATTCGAACCTTCAGAGATCAGTATTTCTGTTCTGGTTCACACATGCCATGATGGGCGTCCGATGTTCGAATTCCGACCAGACTGGGAAATATACACTACTGATGGGTTCCGAAATGAGCAAATATCGAGTCAAGTGCTTCCTGACTGTATGATTGGCTGGTTCAGATGAAGATTGTGCGCAGGGATAACACTTAGATGGTGGTCAGTACGTTTCGGAGCTTTTCTTTCACTATTTCATTGATCGTTAGCAAACTGATTTCGTTGACCAATCACGCCTCGAAAAATAAATATCCTTTCGGCAACAGTTCATTGTTCTCAAATCTCACATGGAACCACTTCTCCTGCGGAGGATCAAATAGCGGGTGGGGCGGGGGAGGAAATACAAGTTTAGGAAAGCACGACAACCTGATGTTAAATGTTTATCTACATTGACTTTTGCTATGAGCTTGTTTTCTATTTTCTAACTATTATGTAACGATTCACGTTCTCAAAATATCTTATCGGTCAAATGATGGGAAGATTTGTGGAAACTCTGATGAATAGTTTCTTTAATGGATGGCATTCGTTGTTGTCTATCAACAGTGCCGTCATCTTTTTTTTGTTATAAACCCATTCACTTGGTCCAGTTTTTGAAATCACTCCGGCTTCTGTCGACGCAAAGGCGCCTGGTGATCACGGACCCGGTATTTCTACCATCTCCGCTTTCTCCGTCCAGATGCCCAATGTTGAGTTCTCGGATGGGACAATGTCTGTGACCAAACGTACCGTGCTTGCTCAACCCTCATTGCCTACAATCGGCGAAGTGAGTGATTAGACGGTTTCCTATCGAGTCAGAGTTGACCACTTTGTGATGGAACTGTACACTGTGATAGTGAAACAACCCGAATCACTATTTTTGACGGATCGGCGAAGAAACACTAAGTGTAGGAACTAACGGGGATGAAATAGCTATATAGTTATTGCAGGTGTTCTCAATTTCGTTTTGTTCACATATATCCTCATTTACGCATGGAATTATTCCCTTCTCGGATGGGTCTGAAAG